CTAGTCATTTAAGGGGCTACAATCGCAGGCAAGGAAATAATCATTCTAGGGGTGGCAAAAAATTTAATTGCCCTAAGAAAGCCAACTTTGGCTCGATTCATGATAAAGGAAAAAAGCAAATGAAATTGGACAATGAAGGAAAGATGGTTAATGAAAATGTTTGTTATCGTTGCGACATGACTTGACACTGGTCGTGTACCTGTCGTACGCCAAAATATTTTGTTGATTTATATCAGGCATTAGTGAAAAAGAAAGGCGATCATGGTGAATCTCACGCAATTGAAACTAAGCCCACTATTGAGGCCAACAGTATTTCTTTTGGTATGATTCCTCTTGCTCCTGAGATAGCACATACACCTATTAGTAGAATTCCTCTTGCTCTTGAAATAGCAAATACATATTTGGATGTGGCTGATCTTTTTGAGGACCTTCCAATGCTTTAATTAGGCTTTATATTAATAAGTGGAGCTGAATTTTTATTTTGCAATAATTTTTTTTTTTAGTTTTGTTATTTACTTCTTGTTGGTTTTCCTTATTATGCTTTTTAATTTTTGTTATTTTTATTTAGTTATAAATGGAATGCTTATGAGTTTATATGACATGTGTTTTTATTAAAATTGCTTCTATTTATGATGATTACATGATTTCTTATTTTTATCATTGACGATGTTTCGTTTTTCTTGCAATTATTATATAACCTTATACTAGAATCTATGCAATTAATTTATTTTATCTGACGAGTGTGACATGGAAAATTTGTTTTTGAAGATAGTAAAATATCTCACTTCTTTGCATTTTAGTTCTTATCTTATTTTGTGATGTATATTAGAGCTGTTGAGGAAGCATAATATTCATGTCACTTATTACTCAATTAAATAAATCGGTTTTACCTTTTAAATTGCTATTAATTTTGTGTTTAAAAGCAGTTACAAATTATGTCATCAATCAAATTTAATTTTTTAAATGAATGAGAAGCCGTTGAAGCAATTTATGTTTTCTTTAATACATTCACGAAGAGAGTTGTAATGCATATTGAAATCATTTATGCTTGCTATTGAAAGGTGATGAGTGTAACTATTTTGTTCTATGTATAATATTTTTTTTAATTGAAAGCAAATAAAGAGTATTAATGATATGTAATTGGATGCACTTTTGTAGATTTTGGGAATCAAAAAATTAATGTTATAATTTTTTTTTTTGCATTTTATTTCTTATGACTATTAGTTTGTCTTTTATTGAGAAAAAACACCTATTTATCGTGATAAGTTTCAAACCGAGACATTTATAAAAGGGGAATACTTTTCTCCTTTAACAGGAGAGAAGAGTTGTCTCCTACTGAGACAAAAAAGTGGGACCAGCAATTTAAAAAAAAGTAAAAACAAAAACAGAAGCTTGGCACAAAAATCGATGTATGTGTAGGAATAAAATCTTGTCTCATGTGAAAGAAGAAAAATATTTCCCTTTATAAAATGAGTCAACTTGCATAAACCATGTTAAAAGTATGTTGTGTGTCACATTCTATGTTTCATATATTGAACATTTTCATGTTATTACCATGAATATATATATATATATATATATATATATATATGAAAAGATGACACTTGTATACATGAGAAGTGGTTATATATTATTAATTTTTTTTATATAAAAGTTGCTTTTATATGTGTCTTGATGATATTTGTTCCATTTGTGTATATATTAATTGATGAGTTCGACATATATCTCTTGTATATTCGAATATTTGTTGAGATGTTGTGATTTATTGAAATCATGTAGCTTTATTGAAATGGAAATGTGATATATGTATCTTCAATATATGAAAAATTGGTACATTGGAAATTTTTCTCAAAATTTCAAAAGTGAAACACATCATGGAAATTCAAGAAGGATTGTCTGTTATTGCTCACTTCAGGAAGAAATTATATTTTATATGTCCATTTTTATGAATATATGTGGTATAGTTCCTGAAGAACTATAACTCTAGATCATGATTGAAATGATATAACCGATCTTATGAATAATTTGAAGTAAAATATTTAGAGAAATTATATCTTTTTTTGTAGGTTACATGGAATAGAACACACCACCACACACTCACACACACCCTATTACACACACCCACACCACTAGGCTAGCCCTAGTGGATAAATATTCTTTATATCTTATGCCTTTTGAATATGCTCATGAAGTAATCATATAAAAAAAAATAGGCTCGTAAAGTTTGGCCAAATGGGTTAAATCATATTCCCTGAAGCGAATGTTCTAAACCATAATTTTAAATATGATTGAAGGCTCTAGAAGAACTTGAATTATGACTAAAACAAGTTCTTCTAACTTGATTGAAGGCTCCAGAAGAGCTTGTATAATGTTATCTTGAGAAGCAATCAAGGAACAAGAAAAGATCTCCCAACAAGAGCATGCTAAAGACATAATATTTCTTCGTGTATACGATAACCTCAAAACCAAATATATATATGACAAAAGATTAATTAGATCCTTCAAAATTTGATCAATTTATGTATCATTCCTTGAAATGAATGCAATACAGTTACATAATCATGGATATGGTCGTGGGCATGTCTATAACAATATTTGCAATAGCTCTAAAAGAGCTGATTATTAATTTTTCGAGATTCATTAATTATCTATCTAGTTATATGGCCAAATGATTATAAACTTAAAGTTCACTAGCTTATATGCTTTTAAGCATACTCCCCTCTTAAACTTGTATGTGGATGTGAACATGATGTTTCTCATCTGTGCATTTTTTGTTGCATTATATATGTCATTCTGTCACCTTAAAGTTTGACATATACGTGAGTTTTTGAGACTCAATACATAATCAAGTACTTGGAGCTCCTGATGGGAGACTTGTTTAATACATGATTCACTCATTAAATATTTAATGACAGACATTTTCCAGCATTAGGGGGAGAAAGCCAGATGCTTAATGAATCTCGAAAAATTATTAAAAATAAAAAAAACAAATGAATTATTTTGGTCCACGTGAAAAGACAAATGTCATTAACTTGCAAACTTGAATAACTGAACTTGAAGTTCAAAAATATCATTAACTTGCAAACTTTAGCAAGACAAATGTCATATATGTTTAGTGATCTCAAATGAGTGACTAAAAAGAATAAGCCACATATAGCGGAAAATTTAATGAAATATCTTTTAGTTTAGTCACTGCCAGAAGCGTGAAAAGACCTGAAGAGATTAAAGATATAAATCTGCGAAAAATAAGTCACTCATTGCGCCTCTTGAAGAGGTTAATCCTGAAGAAAGCTAACCGGTGAAATAAATGCAGCTGCTAATTGCAACAATCTCGGGTATACAGAATGGCCAAATCTGAATGACATTGGAAACAATGAAGATTTGGTTGATATTGACATAAAAGTTGTAATACACCATAGTGATATGGGAGAAAAATATGATAATTTTATCTGTCACTTGCGACACCATTGCCTTCTCAGTAGCTCTTGTTGTCTCAAGAGATAATCTAGATCCATAACTCAAAAGTATAAGAATGCTAGAAGCATTCATATTATGATATGAGGCAAATAATAAAGAACAAGGATTTTTGCAGAGACCTACATCAATTATAATGTTTATTCTCCCGTAATAAATTTTATTACGTTCTGTTACTTGACCATTATGGCAACTAGGATGCATTTAATGGGCGTTATGACTGCAAGGTCACATGATGATGATATTTATTTGAAAATTCCTGAAGGTTTATTGAATCCATGAAGGATAGGCCCTGAAGGTTTATTAAATCCCTAAAGGATGAACCTTGAAAGTTTATTATTGTACTTTTTTTTTCCTTTACCAAATTTTTCCCCAAAGAATTTTTCTTAGACAAAGGTTTTCAACGAGGAAATTTATGCAATGTTTTGGTAGCACAAATCATGTACTCTTTTTCCTTCAATAGTTGTTTCCTAGTAGGGTTATTTAGCAATGTTTTAACAAGGCATGATTTAGCGCAATGATGTCTAATGAGAAGTATTATAAATGAATGTTACCAATTCAATTCAATGGACTTTTGGGAGAAGATCATGAAATAACTATCATGAAAAATTGTAATTGTTGCTCCACTTCATTAGCTTCAGGAGGAGCTATATGACTCAGTTAAGGGGGAGTTATATGCACCACACTTTTTTTTCCTTTACCAAGGTTTTATCCCATTAGATTTTTCTTGGAATGATTTTTAATGAGGCAGTATAACAAAAAAATGTATATTAATTACGAATATTATACTCTTTTCCTTCGTTAAGATCTTATTCCATTGGATTTTTTTTATCAAGATTTTAATGAGACATATTCAAAGTACATCTTCATCTAAGGGAAGTGTTACAAAATATTGATGGATGACTGATAACTTTTTGTATTCTGAAACGGTAATTCAAAATTTGAAAACCGTTAGCATCTATCCCTTCAATTATGATTGTTCATCATGTTAATGAACTTAGACATTTTTGTAAATATACTCTCTCATCTTTCCTTGAATTACTCTCTAAATTTTTCTTTACTTTTGTTTTCTATTCTCTTGTACGAATTCCCTTCTCCCAAACCTTTTTTCATAACAATTTTAAGGTTATTAGAATTTTTGTTTCAAGGAGGAATAATTAAATAATGGGATAAGAAATCGTTACTACCAAATAATGTTATTACCATATCTTAATCGTTGATTTTCGTCAATTAAAATTTGATAATAATGTTATTACCAAATAATTGACGAAAATCAACAATTAAGATATAGTAATAAGATGATTTAGAACTCACAATATCCTATCCCATTAATAATTAACTCGCGTGACCTAATAATTGTAATATCGCAATTTTTACATTTTGAATTAAACCGTGTCAACCCGAATGGAAAGTGACCTCCAAATATGCCACGAAAATAGTAAAATTTGGATTCAAGGTATCATGTTCATATCACTGTATTGTGTGTTGGTTTGGGCGCAAATGCAATCCCTCTCCCTCTCCCTCTCTCTTTGTGATTATGATTATGCATCACGAATCCTTAATGATTAGGATACCATCAACGACGTTGCCAAGTTTAATGCTTTATGGGGTGTACCCAAGTCAATTCCATTCCCATCATTTCCATTTCCAAAATTTCAAAACCATCACACACATTTATATACCACTTCCCATTACGAAACCGAATTTTCTCTCATTTTCCCGGAAAATGCTAACAACAACATCACCAACCTGAAAATCAACCCAAAACCCCTCTTATCACCAACCCAAAGCCTGAAATCAGAGATGAAGAGAGGGAAAATAGGAAAGTTTGATACTTTCGTGTCATTGAGCAGGCAACGATCCATTCAGATTCTCATCGCCATTGCGCTCTTGTACGCGCTCTTATTCACGCTCGAAATCCCCTTCGTCTCCAGAAAAGCCAACGAGGACAACTCGGAGCAACGCGAACGAGTTTCGCACAACGCGCAACCACCGAGTCACCGTTACGTTTCCGGGTTGATCTTCGGCGACACCGTATTTGATTCGGAGCTCTATAAATCCGCAATCCGAGCAGGGAAGACTGTTTGGGAGGAGCTGAAATCGGTGAACCCGCGAACCGTCGTCGAGAAGCCCGAAAACCAATCCGGGTCGTGCCCGCGATCGGTTTCGGTATCCGGGTCGGAGTTTTTGGCCCGCGGGAGTGTTATGATGATTCCGTGTGGGCTCACGTTGGGGTCCCACATAACGGTCGTTGGGAAACCGTTGGCGGCGCAACGAAAGGTGTCTCAGTTCATGATGGAGTTGCAAGGGTTGAAGACGGTGGAGAGGGAGGAACCACCTAGGATCTTGCATTTTAATCCGAGGTTGAAGGGTGATTGGAGTGGGAAGCCTGTGATTGAGCTTAACACATGTTACAGGATGCATTGGGGTTCTTCGTTGCGCTGTAATGGTTGGAAATCCAGGGCTGATGAAGACACTGGTGAGAAAATCTGACACTTTGCCCAATTCAAATGAAAAGCTACAGCATTTGTGGTTTAAATTGTTTCTAACAGAATGGTATTATATGGTGTAGTGTATGAAAAATGCTGTTGACTTTCTTGCATATGCATGATTAATGTGTTATTATGTTGGTATGAGGTATGGCATGGTAAGCTCAGGCTGAAGGAGGTTATAGGAATAAGTTGTGCTTTGTTATGGAAAAAGCTCCTCTAAAGTGAGTTTGTTTCTAAATTGAACTAGTAAGGATGTATCTTGTAACATCCCGAGCGCTGACGAGGGCGGGGAGTGATCTCCAGTGCAAAGAGGCACGGACAAGGACAAGGAGCGGCTCCTGACAGGCTTTCAGCGGAGGGATACATGTATGAATGAATCGAATCGACACCCGAGAGAGAGGGATTCCAAAGGCTGTGCAGGTATAAGACTGCACAGTTTGTGATAGCTTATAAGAATTAATTGGTACTACCTATGCTAACAAGATGCATCTGCTTTTCAGTAGCCCGGATCGGAAGAACTCCACAGTTAAGCGTGTTTGACTTGGAGCAATTCTGGGATGGGTGACCTCCCGGGAAGTTTTCCCGGGAAGTGTGCGAGTGAGGAAAAAGCACACTGAAAAGTCTCGTGTTAGTATGTAGGGATAGTTATTGATTCTTGAAGCGGCCGGGCGTTACAAGTGGTATCAGAGCAGGGCCTCTCATCCAGTACGGTGTGGTTCGAGGACGAACCAGACGGAAGCTGGTGGGCATGTAACATCCCGAGCGCTGACGAGGGCGGGGAGTGATCGCCGGTGCAAAGAGGCACGGACAAGGAGCGGCTCGCTTCCAGCGGGGGGTTACATGCATGAATGAATCGAATCGACACCCGAAAGAGAGGGATTCCAATGGCTGTGCAGGTATAAGACTGCACAGTTTGGGATAGCTTATAAGAATTAATTGGTACTACCTATGCTAACAAGATGCAACTGCTTTTCGGTAACTCGGATCGGAAGAACTCCACTGTTAAGCGTGCTTGACTTGGAGCAATTCTGGGAGGGGTGACCTCCTGGGAAGTTTTCCCGGGAAGTGTGCAAGTGAGGAAAAAACACACTGAAAAGTCTCGTGTTAGTATGTGGGGATAGTCATTGATTCTTGAAGCGGCCGGGCATTACATATCTACCCTTAAATTATAATGGGTTGAATAAATGGTGGATAAACTCTTACTTGCTGAATTTAGAAATAAGAATCATAAGATCACTTTCGAGGAGTCTTATCCCTTTGTAATATATATTCCCTTTCAATGAAAAAAAGGTTTATTGTTGTCTTCCACGAAGTGATTATGTGTTTTAGTAAAGCTCAAACTGGTTGCTTTGGGGTGAATGTATGGTTTGCTAATTTCTGTAGGGGACCTATTGTAGGATGTAGATACTTTACTAGTGACCTTGAAATATTGTGTTTCTTTTCTCAGTTCCAAGTTTTTAACTTGTCTTTCTTAAGTATGATACATTCAATTAATGTTTCTCGAGTATTTTTTTTCTTCTTCTCAGTTCCAATTCTTCATTTGAGTTTTCCAATCTATTGTTTGTTCATTATGTTTGTGAGAGCACCAAATTGAGCTATTGCTTATGTTCAATATAGTTGATGGGCTGGTGAAGTGTGAGAAGTGGATTGAGGGCGATGATAGGCATGCAGAGGAGTCTAAGGCTGCATGGTGGTTGAAGAGACTGATAGGCCGGACAAAAAGAGTAACAGTTGACTGGCCATTCCCATTCTCAGAGAACAAGTTATTTGTTCTTACTCTTAGTGCTGGATTGGAGGGCTATCATATTAATATTGATGGGAGGCACGTGACCTCTTTTCCTTATCGCACTGTGAGTAATGTCCTTGAAAAGTTGAACTTGTCAACCTGAAGATAGCTTTGCCTGATTTCTTAATATGGCTTTTTAATTTAACAGGGCTTTACTCTTGAGGATGCCACTGGACTTACTTTGAGTGGGGACATTGATGTCCACTCTATATTTGCCGCCTCTTTGCCAACATCACATCCAAGTATTTCCCCTGAGCAGCTTCTTGAATTTTCAACCAGATGGTGTGCCCCAACACTTCCTGAATCTGGCGTGGAATTGTTCATTGGCATCCTCTCAGCTGGAAACCATTTTGCTGAGCGGATGGCTGTAAGGAAGTCATGGATGCAGCATAGCCTTATCAAATCTTCAATAGCGGTGGCTCGTTTCTTTGTAGCACTGGTAATGTTGACAAGTTGATAAGCTGACAAGCTCTTTATTTTTATTGTTATTTCATTTCACAGGGGGATTCTTAACATTTGAATATTTTTACAGCACCCGAGAAAAGAAGTTAATGTAGAATTGATGAAGGAAGCAGAATTTTTTGGTGATATTGTTATAGTGCCTTACATGGATAACTATGATCTTGTTGTATTGAAAACAGTGGCCATATGTGAATATGGGGTACGTCGATGATTGTTTAATATAAGTTTGAAAAAGGAATAATTTATTCACAGATATATAAGATGTGCTGCATTGTTCACAGGTTCGCACAGTTTCTGCCGAGTATATCATGAAGGGTGATGATGACACTTTTGTCCGGGTGGATGCTGTTATAAATGCAGCAAGGAACGTTCTGAATTCTGTAAGCTTCTATATTGGAAACATAAATTACCGCCACAAACCTTTGCGCCATGGTAAATGGGCTGTGACATACGAGGTAATCATTAACATGTTGCTGATTTTCACAATTAAGTAGAACATGTTGATTTAACAATGCCCTCTGCTTCCTTACTGTCGTCACATCTAACTTATCGCTGATGATAATTTTGGTGTATTTAAATATTGATTTTTTTGCTTGTCTTCTGTTTTCAGGAGTGGCCACAGGAGGATTATCCACCCTATGCTAATGGACCGGGTTATATTTTATCTTCTGACATTGCACGCTACATTGTATCTGAATTTGAGATGCATAACTTAAGGGTTAGTTAGTGTAGTCATATATATACTGCAAATTTCTCTGTTTTCATGTTATGGATCATAGTATCTCCATGATGGTGTGTGGCTGAAGTTGTTGGTGTTTTCTTCTATATGCAGTTGTTTAAGATGGAAGATGTAAGTGTGGGAATGTGGGTAGAGCAATTTAGCAGCAGGAAACCAGTACAATATTTGCATACCTTGAAGTTCTGCCAGTTTGGTTGCATCGAAAACTATTACACAGCTCATTACCAATCACCTAGGCAGATGATGTGCCTGTGGGATAAATTAGAGAGGGAAACAAGGCCTCAGTGTTGCAACATGAGATAATGATGAGGTATAAGTTGCCATGAAAACAAGTTTTGCAGTCATAGCTTAGGTTCGAATATGTGTATATACGATGGACCTTGGATATAGTTTAAACGTATCCATGTATAAATGGCCTTTTAAATCCCATTATTTATTTTATTCTTTTGCTAAGAGAATTTAATTTTTTTTTTTGGTAAGCAGAATTTCATTATTTAAACTTACTTGATTATTTTTTCTATTTTCTTTTTGGAGGGTTATTTCGTTTCGGCTTGGGGTTGAAAAATGAACAGGATGGTGAGCAGGGAAGTGGGAAGTGGGAACATATTTTAAATATACAGCTTCTGCAAATTAGTTTATACTAGCAAGTATGACGGGTATTTTAAATTAATGTAAAATTTTAAAATTAGAAATTAAAAAGACGCATGTATAATTAATTTAAGTAGAATTTCAAAACTATATATACATTGAAAGAGGAAAAATTAAAATTGTACAGAAGATATGCAAATTAATTGGAATTTTAAATTAAAAAGAAAAGAGGCTAAGAATGATATGTAATATTTTTTAAAGGAGAGTAGACTAAAAATTAGTTCATTGTTAAGAATTAAGATAGTGTTTTCTAATTTAATATATAAGAGTATATTAATTAACATTTGAGAAGAAATATAAAATTTAAATGTGAAAAAATAAATTCAAAGAAGATTATTAATTTGAGGGTATTAGTAGGCTTTGAAATTGTAGCGGCCTCAAATAGTGACAGAAACCAATCTTTTGCTATAGAATGGAACAAATATCATATATTTTTTATTTATTATATCTACTGAAAAATAATATCTTGATAGATAAGAGTGTTTATGTTTTGGTCGAGTGAGGGGCTAAGAGTTGAGTGTGATTTAAATTATACTTTAATCTATTAGGGGTGTTTGGTATAGATATCGAGGCAACTTTCTTGGTTTTTCAACTTGACTATGTTTGGTACAAGACTAAAAAAAATTTAACTAGGAAAATCGTTTGCCCAGCCATTGTGATTTGTGTGCAAAATTTCATGTTTAGCATTGTTCCAGAAAACCACAACGATGATGATATTTTGGGTTTACCGGGAAAAGAAAAAAATGAGCACGAATTTGCTGACGAAAATAACCCTCGTCTACTTTTGAAAGTGTCTTTCCTCGGCAAAAAAATTAAAATAATGTAATTAATTAAAATAATTACGCATTTAATGCTGTTTTGTTAAAAATTACATATCTGTTGCACAATGAGACGCCCATGTGACGCCCAAAGAGGGCGTCTCATGTGCAACCTATATATACCCCATTTTTCTTTTTTCACTCCTTACTCATTTACCTTTGTAACCTCTCTCCAACCTCTCTCTAACCTCTCTCTAACCGCGGTTCGTAGCGAAGCTCTGCTAACGTAGGTAAGGTCATAATACCTCATATGTATACATTTAAATTACAGTGCTAGTTAGTAATACATGTTAGGATTGATTGTATATTAGAGACTTGGAACATTAGGATAGTCACTTAGAAATTTTGTGTCATGCTATGAATGTTGTAATGATATAGTAATATTATTATTACGTAGTTATTATTATTACCGATTTTTAATTATGTATTAGGGTTTAGCATATTAATTAGTGATTTATAAATAATATTAGAGACTTTGTAAATTTCGTATGTATGATGTTATTAATGCGGGAGTGCATAACTTTGTAGTTAGTTGAGGATAATGGCTGAGTCATCATCTTCTTCGGGATCTGATTCGGATGTAGAGCCCACCGATCCCAGCATGTGGATCATACCTGGACCCTACAGGTGGGAGGTCCTTCGTCAGAGGACGCAGAAAGGTCATATTTCACAGCGAGTGTGGAATACTGAGCATGTAAGAAAGATTAAGACTAGGTGTGGGAAGCCACAAGGGGGCCCACCTACCGGTGCTATTCCACAGGTTGTGGAAGAGTACATCAGACAGGCGGGTTTCATACATGTTGCCAGGATGCAACATATCCAGGTATGTTATTTATGTCGTTTTTTATTTATGTAATTATTTAATAAAATTCGTTAACACGTGATAACTGTGTAATTTATCACAGATAGATACATTTTTAATTAGTGCTCTGGTCGAGAGGTGGAGACCAGAGACACATACCTTTCACATGACCCAAGGTGAGATGACGATCACCTTACAAGATGTGGCAGGCATCTTGGTCTTGCCGACCGACGGTACTGTCGTCATCAGATCGACCTCTGAGGATTGGCACGCTGCTTGTGCTGCTGTTTTTGGACATGTTCCAGAGGCCGGTGAGTTCCATCATTCTGGCGACCTCCGCATCTCATTCTTGGATCGACATTATACCCGGTGGACTGATCATGAAGGGAATCATGTTGCCGAGATCTACTTCACAAAAGCCCACATTGCCCGGATGTTGGGGACTTGGTTGCTGGCGGACAAGTCTGGAGGTAGCAATTTTGGTTGCCGACTTGTCCCGTTGCTAGCAATTTTGATACGGCTCTGGCTTGTCTCAACTTCATCCATCTCGTTGCGGATGCGAGTTGACTTTGGACGACCTTTTGCACGCAACATAGTAGAATCAAGAATAATCTTTGCACCACTAATTTCAGGTATTGCTTCCTCGTTTCCGATTGGCTCCCACGGAAAAGAATAAGCCTCGACCAAGTTAGTTATCAAGAAGACATCGTCAACGTAAGTGAACGCACTCTGCCTAACACTTAACGCAGCAGCAACGACGTGACTACCTTCTTGTGGAATACCAAACGGAGCAGACACAACGTCATTCAACTGCGGCATTTGCGCGACGACTGGTTGATGGAATATTGGAATTTCAGACGCACCCATCTCACGAGATTCATCTCCTTCTGAAGCACTAGCATCCTCCGCCAGAAGATGTTCTTCCATTGCCATATTTTCATCGTCATCATCGTCATCTTCGTCGTGCATTTCCCAAGTCGGATCATTTTCATCTCCCTCAGAAAAGTTACCAACTGGAGACGCATGAGCGGCAGGAAAAGGTGGAAGACGGGGATAATTTAAATAAACTGACCTCACCGGTATGGGAGTATTCTCTGTTGCGACGATGTCGACATACAACTCTAGAAAATCTGTCCTTGACTGGTTGCAAAATTCTTCCATTGTCATCTCCAAGTCTTCATCGTCAAGCACTTTCAAACTAATGTATTTATCACCTTGTCACACCCTTGTCGTGATCTCAGTGATACATTGGTTGTCTTGAAGACTTAACTTCTGCCGAATTCTTTGATGCAGTTCGCCAATGGTTGTGTTGCGTTGGATACGTGTCGGCCTTTTTTCACCTTCGAATATGACACCTCGTCGACCTTCTACCTTCCTACCATTGTAATATAACACAACACGAACAGAATCAGGAATTGAGCTCATTTTTAAATAAAATTACAACTAAAATTCAAATACTAAATTAAAGATAAAGGAATGTTGGTGGAGAAGAGAGATATAAAGAGTGAGAGAAGATGTGTGAATTGAATGGAGGAGGTGAGGAAATATATAGAGCACACATGTGATGCTAGTTTTGGGTGTCACATGTGACGCCCCATTGGGGCGTCTCTCCCATGGATAAGACGCCCCAATGGGGCGTCACATGTGACGCCCAAAACTGGTGTCACATTGTGCAGTAGATGTGTAATTTTTTACGAAACAACATTAAATGCGTAATTATTTAATTTAAATACATTATTTTAATTTTTTTGCCGTCTTTCCTCATCTCTTTCCTCCACAGAAGTTTTACGTCTCCAACATAGAAAATTTTCAGCAGGAAGCACATAACATATGTTGTTCACTGTTCAGTGCCCATAGTTAAAAGATGAGTCAGTGGACTTTGATTTATATTTTTCCACATTATTCAACCATAAATAATTTTTGTTTTTTTGTTGGTAAATTAAAGATTATTTTTTTCATTAGTCTTAACGCATGGTAAGCTATTCCTAAATAAAGGCATTGTGATGGTTTAATTTTTAAATTCTGTACTTATATTTGTTTCTACATTATAAGTCTACTTGCCACTTAGTTAATTACTCAATACAAAGCTTTGATGTGAAACAAGAGCAAACTTACTGTGGGCCTGGACCTAAAAAAATTAGGTGAGACTGAGGTAAAAGAAAGAAAGAAAAAGTTGAGGAAAGAGAAAAGAAAATAAATAAATTTAATACAAGTGTCAATTTTTGAGTGGAAGGACCACGGTGGTCCCGAAGCATATTAAAAAATTCCGTGAAACAGTGTGAGACTATATATTGGAAATAAAATATTGACTGTGCGAATGGTATTAATAACTACCCCCATGAACAATTTCATAGCAGAAGAGTGATCTAACAAATTCGTCCTCTCAGATGTTCCTTTGGCTCTATGATGTCTATGATCCAAATAAGGTTAGTAGCCTTTATGTATGCAATGTTCATGCCAAGAAAGTGCGTGGTGGAGCAGTGGCTGCACAAGTCAAGAGCACACAAGGGAAGTGGGTTCTATTATTGCAGTAATAGTCCCCTCTTTTTCTTTTCAATGAATATGCAAGATGCATGGTATTGTAACTATGATACTTAATGGTTTACATTTACTGTTTAGTAATTTGTTGTTGATATGTGCTTATAATTCACTGTGTGTGCTTTGATTTTTGTGTTGGTTTCTTTAGATATTCATCTGTATTTAGTAATTTTTTTTTTTTTTGTCAATCATAAAAATAATTGTGGACTCTTTAACATTTGCTTACTCTTTAGAATCGTGTTCAATTATGCAAGGTTGGTGATTTTGGATTCGCATGTTGGAAGCCTGGTGGAGACACTGGTGTGGAAAGTAGAGTAATTGCAACATTTGGGTATGTTTTGTATTGATCCTGAATTAGTTTAAATGTCAAAATTGTGTATGCCATATGAAATTGCTAACAAATTTATATTGCTGCTGTGTGTAGGTCGTTTGGATCCTGAATATGCTCAAAGCGCCTACATCAATGATGGAGGTCATGTTTATTGTATTGGGGTGGTATTAGTGGACCCTTGTTACAGGTAAATAGTTTGATTCCAATTTAGTGATGTGTGATATTTGACTAATTTGTTGCAATTACTATAAGCTATCACAAAGGAAATCAACCAAAATGCATGGG